TGAAACAAATACAGAAATGTGCTAAAGCCTAAGATGACGTCTTCAGATGTCTTGTTCTGTCTGTCCAACACCCAAAGACAGTTCAGTTTACGATCACACAGGACAAAGAAAGGCAAAGGTTTGAGAACCTGAAAACTGGGTAAAGTTGAGACATTTTGCGGGAAAACAACTATATGGGATCGGCTGATTATCAAAATAGTTGGAGATTAAATTTATAATCAAATTAATGAACTAACTAAATGTTTCAGTTCTAATCCATTCCAACATTAAAACCCTGTGTAGTTCATGTTGACGGGCTGTAAACCCTCACTGAGAAGCAATGAGCCTGAGGTCAGGATGGGCTAGATTTGGTAATGAGTGCAGGCAGCTGACCTGAGGTCATTTGAGTCACACAACCAAACCCCCCATTTGCATAACACACAGTGTGGACACACAGCTACATTAACGGCCTGATGGAGACTTTAATTCTCAGTGTAACATGGCTGCAAAGATGGGCCACCTTGTCAGAGTCTGCAGATCAGCACTTGGACAACAGACATCATGGGACAAGTGCTAAATAATTAAGCATTCCCAATCATGTAAACACATGCCAAACACATACAAACTGCATCAGTAAAGAGGAACAGCAGTGACACACTGAAACCAACCAACAGCTTACACTGTACAGTGCAGAATAAAGCCGACTTACATGAAATCCACTTTGGAGCAGTTTGCTATGGCCTTTTAGTTATTTCAAAGTCCTTTATCATAAACTGCTGTTATTTTGTCAATACCATCATTCTCATAAATAGAGAAACCATTCATTTTCTATGTAAAAATATGCACTTAAATGGTGGCCCCAGTAGTGCAGAACAAGCTCATAAATGCTGTAAGGAAGTAACAATCAAAGAGACTAGTAAATGTCACTACATGCTGTAGCCTATAGAACAGTGGTGTGTTCATTTCCCATCTAGTTAATAAGAGGCAAAAGAGAGGCTGTGGGGCACCTGGTACTAGAAGAAGGGACTGGCATGTCCCAGTTGGAACCAGTGAACTCATGCAATCAACCCCCCAAAGCTGACAACAAATATCAAAGCCTAACCAAATGGGCTTCACCCGCCAGCACCCCCTTGTCATTTTTCAACTAATTGAATTATCCACACTGACTAATTGCGGTGTGCCCTACAGTTATTCTGTTTGCAGCTCCAAAACGGAAAAGGGTTTTTTTTTTTCTCAATTGGACTCACAGTGGCTGGATCCGCTCCAGTGCCTGCCGCTCACCAGGGACCCTCCGAACGGACGCTGGAGTCCTCCTACGCCGGACAGGAGTCCCTTCTCCGGCCCGAGCCCCGGGGGTCTGTGGTAGTAGTCCATGCTCAGGAAAGAGCCGGGACTGGGGCTGCTGGGGCTGGGGCTAAAACCCGCAACATCCACGCTTTCGTACATCCCCGAGAGGCGGGAGACGCGTTTGATCTCTTTGTGCCAAATAGAGAGAGAGAGAAAGAGAGAGAGAGAAAAAAAAAGATCAAAGCGTCCTGGACGGCGAAGAGAGAAAGAGGGAGGGAGGGAAGGGAAGAGTTCACATCTTCATAACAGACTGATGGGAGGAGGAGGAGGAGGAGGAGGAGGAGAGGACAGGAGGGGGAGGAGAGAAAAAGAGATGACCGGTCCCGGTGACCTTTCAGCCCTTGGAGGAGCACGGGCAGTTCGTCGTCTTTTCGACGGAACAACGTCCGTTACGTCCGCTTTCACACGACCGGAACGAGTTCAGACGACAAAAGAAACGCTGTTGTCTTCTTTGACGTCTTTTTTTTGCTGTCCAAACGCTACAAGTGCCACCGAGTTCAGCGCCGTGCTGCTGGAGTTGCAGCCCTCGTTACTTTGTAGCACCCACGGCAAAGAAAGCACCGTAACAACACATTATTAGAACACCATGTTAATAAGAGTTTATGACCTCCAGCCGGCGTCTCCGCGGTCTTTACACAACGTCGCTACCGTTCGCAGTTGTTTCGCTCTGTTTTTCAGGGTAGCTAAACTGATATTATGTAATTGTCATGTCGCTTGCTAATCCTTGTAGCCGGACGAGCAACGACCGGTTCGCTGACAGACTACTCCTTAATGTCACAGCCAGTGCTGTTTGTCCTTAAATCCCTGCGTGCAGTAAATTAATGTATCCGTCGCCGAAAAGTGAATGAAAAAAAAGGTCCAGTCGGTGGGAAACGCGCTGCTCCGGGTCGCTCCGGGTTCTCCGAGTCCTCCGAGTCCGAGCGTTTACGACAGAAAAACACACATTACACACAATGGTGAACAGGCGCTGTCACATATGACTTTGAAGTTGCCGCTGTATGTCCAAGTAGCCCAGTATCCAGAGGTACAGTTGGCGGCGGTGAGGTAGGTCGAGATATCCGAGGCAGTTCGGGTTGGTGCGCCTCTCGTTGCTAGTTGCCGAGGTCCAGCAGCCGTGTCCTGTGGTAACCTCTGGTCTGTACCCGACGGCCTCTCTCTCTCTCTCTCTCTCTCT